ACTTTAAAACCTTTGGCCCAGCGATTTCACTTGGGGATTATTAAAGACATAAGCAAAAATGTACCTACAGTAGAATACTTTGTAATAATTTAAAAAGTTAACAAAGAAAGAAAAGCCATCAAAGACTACTTATTGGTATAAAGAAATATTTGAGAAATAGTAAATGAAAAAGGGAGGTTACAAATTGTATGATAGCATATTCCTTTTAAAAATAAGTTAAAATGGCCGAGACCGGTTTGACTCAGTGGATAGAGTGTCGGCTTGGGGACTGAAGGGACCCGGGTTCGATTCCGGTCAAGGGCATGTACCTGGGTTGCGGGCATATCCCCAGTAGGGGGTGTGCAAGAGGCAGCTGATCGATGACTCTTTCTCATCGATGTTTCTAACTCTCTATCCCTCTCTCTTCCTCTCTGTGAAAAATCAATAAAATATATTTTTAAAAAAAGTTAAAATGTACACAAATTAGTTATGCACCAAGCAGAAATGCATTTTTTGTACAACAAGAACATGAACAAGAATGTTCATAGAAATATTTAATAGTCCAAAATAGGAAACAACTGCCCTGGCCAGGTAGCTCAGTTGGTTAGAGCATCATCCTAATAAGCCAAGGTGTGGATTCGATCCCCAGCCAGGGTTCTGACAAGAATCAACCAATGAATGGGTAAATAAGTAGAACAAATCAGTATTTCTCTTTCTCCCTTATTCTCTCTCTAAAAATAAAAAAACAACAACAAAATAGTAAACAATCCAAATAAGTGATTGTATATTCATACAATGGAATATTCTATAGCAATGAGATAAATAAACCGACTGCATTCAACAATGTCAATGATTCTCATTCACATAACGTTAAAAATACAAAAGATCATGATTCCATTCATATGAAATTCAGCAGGTAAAGTTGATTTGTGCTCTTAGAAGCCAATAGCGGTTACTTTTTTTTAGTCATTTTTTTAATTGTGGGAAAATACACATAAAATTTACCATTTTAAAGTGTACAATTCAGTGGCATTCATTACAGTCACAGTGTTGTGTAACCATGACCTCCATCAGTTAACATTCCAGAACGTTAAGCAGTACCCACTGAGCAGTCACTCCCCATTCCTCCCTGCCCCCATGATGTTATTTTGAAGAGGAGAGGATATGGCTGTGTTCGTGGGAAACTTTACCTAGCTGTACATTTATGCTTTATACACTTTTTGGATGTAATGTCTAAGTATACATAAATGTGTCCATCAGTTGATTTCTAATGCCTTTAAAAGAAAATGTCCCTTACCATCAGAGGCAAAGGGAATGTCACACCCAACTTGGCCTGGTCCCTGGTTTGCCTCAGGGCTGATACTTCTCTATCTGTCCATCGCCCTGCATGGTTTCAGACCTGCCCCCTCTCTCCGGCTCCCTTTCTTCCTGGTGGGGGTGGAAGGAGTGTGTGTGGGAGGAGGAGGGACAGAGAATGTTCCAGCTCTCCTTGGCCACTGGGTGGTTGTGCTGAGGGGACTCACTCCCGGCCAGGCTGGAATTCATTTTCACGTAAAAGCTGGGGAATGTGGAAAGAGAAGGTTAAGACCAACGTGAGCAGACTGTCTGGACTGGCCTAAAGGAGCATCAGGTAGCAACCAAGGGCTTCAAGAAAAATGTCCCTCCAGTCTGTCAAACCAGAGACAAGCCAGCACTCCAGAAAGAGATTTTCTTTTTTAAAATACGTTTTTATTTCAGAGAGAAGAGAGAGGGAGTTAGAAACATAAATGATGAGCGAGAATCCTTGATCAGCTGCCTCTTAAACTCCCCTTACTGGGGATTGAACCCACAACCTGGGCATGTGCTCTGATTGTCAATTGCCCCGTGACCTCCTGATTCATGGGTTGATGCTCAACCGCTGAGCCACACCAGCTGGGCCTGAAAGAGATTTTCATAAAAGAAGCCCTCTTCAATCACCCACATCCACCAAAAGAGGAAAGAACTAAGTCCTATCCACACGCAAGCTCCCGGTCCCTCTCTTTCAGGAATTCAAAATGCCGTTAAGCCACCTGGTCTTACTGGCTTTCTTATCTTTCACATCTCAGTTTTTATCTTCACCCCCTCTAGGCTCGAAGACATTACTAACCTCTCCCTCTGTGCTTCCATAGCACCTTGTCTATATCTCTACTGAGCAGCCACCATCTGGTGTCATAAGTCTTTGTTGCCAAACTGTGGCAACAAAGCTGGGACCAGGTCTTTTGATCACTGCATCTCAACACCTCTGTAGTAGATACCCTGCCAACATGGATCTGATGGTTGGAAGGCAGGCCTTCTTCCTGCCTTTGACTCTTTCCCCACGTGATGTGGCAGCATACATTTCTTTCCCTTTCTGTAGGCTTTTGTTCTTCAATCTTCTCCTTGGTTCCAAGATTGTTTAAATTCTTTAGATAATTTTACGTGTTCGTGCGTGCCCTGGCCGTGGAGCCTGTGGTGCAGGTTTATGGCCCACTTCCATGTGCAGTACGGAGCCTGCAGCCACCCCACTTCTCTCCAGTCCCTCTTTGTTGGGTACTTGTCCTGCTCTTCCTTCACAGTCCCAGGAGCTGAGCTTTTACTTACGTATTTTTCCAGTTCCCGAAGGCTTTCTTAGTAAATATGCGTTAGGAAAGAAGAATAGATCCCATTGCTCCCGAGTCAATGGACTCAAGAGCCAAAGGGGATTGACTGATGCTTTGTCCACCTCTTGTTCATAGATCCAGCCAAACGCACAAGAGGTGTAGTCACCCTCTCTTTGGGCTTAAACCATAGGCTGGTTTCTCTCCCAGCGCTTTTTACTGAATCACTGCAGCGAATGATGTTCCTGCCAGCTCGAATGCAAAGGTCTCCATGAATGGAGCCTGGCTTAGCACCTGCTGGATTGGTCTTCCCAAGCATCGATCTCCCTGTCTTCACCCTTCCCAGACCATGGTCACCACAGGCCCTGAGTCCACGTACTTCACCAGCCCAGAGTAGAATGGCTGGTCTTTCAGGCCAATGTGGTGCTGTCTCAGGAGCAGCTCAGAAGCCCGGGGGAACTTCATGGTGACAAGGCAGAACCCCTCCCCCCCTTTTTAAAAAAATATATTTTATTGACTTTTTACAGAGAGGAGGAGAGAGGGATAGAGAACTAGAAACGTCAATAAGAGAAACATCGACCAGCTGCCTCTTGTACACCCCCTACCAGGGATGTGCCCACAACCAATGTACATGCCCTTGACCGGAATCGAACCTGGGACCTTTCAGTTCGCAGACCGATGCTCTACCACTGAGCCAAACCGGTTTCAGCCAGAACCCCTTCTTGAAGCACTTGTTGATGATGCCCACCAGGCCGCACTGCATGCCGTCAGGCTTGATGGCGATGAAGGTGAGCTCCATGCTGGCCATGTTCCGAGAAGCAGGCTGGCGTGGCAGCTGTGCTGCACCCACAGCCAGAGCCCAGGAACCGAGCTTTTAGAGAGGAATGTTCCTCTCCACGGTAGAAAGTGTCCGTCCTGTACTAGCCCTTTCCTTATTTGTTGAGCCTCACGATATGCCAGGCACCGTGCCGGCTTGTGGTCTAGCAGGAGAGACAGACTGGCTCCTTTACTCATTGGACATCCTCTGGAGACATACAGCAAGTCATCTGATTTAGTCCTTGCTCAGGCAGAGCTTCCTTAAGGAACTGGCATTTCTGCCAGATGTTCAAAGTTAAGTACATGGAGGTTAAGGGGAAATGGGTAACAAAAGAGCCACGTGAACTACACGTTTAAAGGGCCACCAAGGATAGAGCATGGAAGGGAAAGAATGCCCAAGGATCTTCAAGACATTGCCCATATTTGAAGGGTGAAGCTGGGGGTAGGGTCCCCGAGGAGGTTGAAGAAGTAGGTAGAGATGGAATAAGACAGAGCCTTGATATAAGCCTGCTTTAGTTAAGAATTTTTTTTTTTGGTTGAAAGTGACCAAAATCCACCTAAGAAAAAAAAGAGAAGCTTTTATTGGCTCAGAAGCTACAAGTTCAGGGCTTTCAAGATCAAAGATGTCATTGAATTTGGACACCTCTCTCTGTCTCATCTTTGCTTTCCTTTGTGAGAGCATCATTCTAGGACTGGTCTCTGTGAAATGGTCTTCTGATCCTCCTTGTCACACAGAAGCCGAAGGCTGGAGTGGAAGGGAATGAGGGGTGAAAGGCTATCGAATGAAAGCCACTCATCTTTCTCCCTCCTCTTCAAGACCCGGAAGGGCACCTTCTTTTCAGGCTCTGTCCCGAGGGCCTCACCTTAGATTTCTTGGGGGACACAGAAAGCTTGGCCTTGGAAGGAATTTCTGGGGGGAGGTAGAGAATGGATCGGTGAGGGACCCTGCTCTCAGACTCCAAAGCTGTTCATATGCTTAAGGTCAGCAAGCCCACAGTCCCTGTCTCTTTTCCTTAGGGCACTTTGTCTGCTGCATCCTCAGCCCTCTTCTGGGGAGGCAGGACCGTCTGGGTTTGATCAGAGAAAAAAAGGAGAGCGGGGACCCAAAACCTCCTCCCGACTTCCGCCCCTCCTTCTGGCCTTCAGATCCTCTCCCGCACTAAGCGGGTGCTGACCTATTTGTCAGACTCGCACTGTTTCTCCTTCCCCTTCTCAAACAGCCTCCACGTCCTGCCCCAGACTCCACCGGTTCCCGACTCCACCGTGGGCGAGCCGCCCTTCTTTTGCTTGCCACCCGCCCTAACTCACCAGGACCAGCAAAAGATTCCCGTCCCAGACCCCTTTTTACTGGGTTCAGGCGCTTCCGCCTCCGGGGCGAAGACTCCTCCCCCTCCCGGTCCGGATTGTATTCCCTGCAAGAGCCGCCGGGAAAGCCTCCGCGGCTCAGAAGCCGGTGCCTTATCCCAGCCCGCTGCCCGCTGCCCGCTGCCCGCGCCCCGAGTTACCGGGCTTCCCGGCCCGGCTCCGGAGAGGCTTCAGCACCACGGACAGCGGCCCTCCGCCCCGGCGCCTCCCGCGGGTCCAGGCGAGGCGGCGAGCTATGCCCACAGCATGGCCCGGAGCTCCGAGCCCACGGCGCTGCTGCTGCTCGGTTCCGGCCTCCTCTGGCTGTGCTCAGGTAACCACAGGGCACCGCGCTCGGCCTCACCCCGCCAGGCGCAAAGGTGGAAGGAGGGGATTCCTAGAGCTGCAGGAGGGTGCTGGGGGTTAGGGGACAGAGCTTTGGGCCTGCGGGGAGGCCCGGGGGTACCGCACTGGGAGGAGGACAGACCCTAAGGAGTCAGTGGTGCAGGGAAGAGGTAGAAACCGGGGCAGTGGTGCTGGGGAGGGTGTGGACACACAAAGGAAGGAGGGGGGACTCTCTCCCAGGCTTTCTAGGCCAGCAGGAGGGCAGTCTCTGCAGCTGAGGTGCCACGTGAAGCATTCTGTCAGGAAATCTACATGGTTCAGCACCCTCCTTTGTCTCCCCATCATTCCCTGTCCACCACATTGGGGTCCTGATTCTGGTCGCTCCCCAGGGGCGAGGCAGGAGGGGGAGAGAAGTGACTCTTCAACGCTCTCACAGGACAGGACGGAAGACTTGGGAGGGCATAAGCTCTGCCAGGCTGGGGCCACGGAGGAGCACTCTGAGGGGATGGGGTGTGTTTGTGCCGAGTCGCAGAAGGTGAGAGAGTGTAGGAAGGGCAGGTACAAAGGCAATGTACAACCTCATGAGACTCCCACATGTGGGGCACAGAATGTGACCTAGCGAGGGGAAGGGTGTGTGGTGGGACATGAATAACTTCCCTTTGACCAGCCTCCAAAGCCATCCCGGATTGTAGGTGTTTCTAGGAGAAGCCATGGAAACATGGGTTTCTCTGGAACCCAGCCTCCGAGACCTTGCAGGAAGAGCAGGCCTCCACTGATGCTCGCAGAATGGTTTCTTAGTCTGAGGAGTCGGTGTGTTGGGCTGTCTGGGCAACTTGGTCAGTGATGCAGGGAGGGATTTCTCTGGGAGGGGCCTCCATGGGGAAACCTAAGCATTTTGGTGAGACCTTAGGGAGGGGGCGTTGGGAAGCGATAGCCTCCTGTTTAATTATCCAGTTAATTAGGACTCTGCACTCCTGTGTGGCCTGGGTTGCCCCATTTGCCTAGGGAGAGTGGGATCCTGGATGGGCCTTTCTTGCCTACTTCCTTCCTTCCTTCCTGCCCCTCCACCGACTGCCCAGGAGTCTGGGGTACGGACACAGAGGAGCGGCTGGTGGAGCATCTCTTGGATCCTTCCCGCTACAACAAGCTTATTCGCCCAGCGACCAATGGCTCTGACCTGGTGACAGTGCAGCTCATGGTATCCCTGGCCCAGCTTATCAGTGTGGTGAGTGTGTGTGTGGGGGTGGTGTCCCAAACTCTATGCTCAGCTGCAGAATCAACACGCCAGAATGTGTTCATGTGTGTGCTTACTCCTCTGGGGTTCCCAGGGCTTGGGAGGTGGGGGGGAGGGGGAACCGTGGGCGGGTGTGGTGGGCTGAACAGCCGGGGGGCCTTCTCAACAGCTTCTCTTCTCTCCTGCAGCACGAACGGGAGCAGATCATGACCACCAATGTCTGGCTGACCCAGGTAGTGCTCTCCCTCCCTCCCACACACACCTGGTCTTCTCTTTCCTCCGTTTCCCTTTCTTTCCACGTGTCTTTCCCGTCCTTTAATCTCTGGAAAAGAGGCAGAAAGGGATAGACTTTGGAGTCCCAAGGAACTGGATTTGCATCTTGGTTCTTCCATTCACAAGCTCTGTGACATGAGCATGTTAAACTCTGCAAGGTTCATTTTCTCACTTGTAAAATGAGGATTCTAATATCTTGGGTTAGCTGTTAGAATTACGTGAGAAAGTATTTAACGGTTGACATTTGCTGGGCGGAGAAGTCACCGTGGGAAGGGGATGGCTTGAAAAGCTTCCTCAAGCCAGGTGGGCCCTCTCTTGACCCTATTCTTTTTTTTTTTTTTTTTTTTTTTTTTGACTGTTATATATATATTTTTTTTAAATCAATCTTTATTGTTCATATTATTACAAAGGTTCCTCATTTCTTCCCCACTCCACCAGGTTCCCACCCCACCCTCCGTCCCCCCCCCCTCCACCCCCCATTGTCCTCATCCATAGGTGCAGTTTATGTTCAGTCTCTTCTTCCCTCAATTTCCCCAATAGTAAATCCCTTTTCAGATAGTAAATCTGTTACTTAGCATTTTCTCATATCAATAATACCTCCACATGCCCAATGATACACTTCACACAAAAGACATTTCCCACTAGGTCAACCAGCCTCATCCAGGCCCCACCCAAGGCACTCACAGATCAACACCCCAGTCCTAAACTAACTCAACACATCCAGATCTAAGCCTTCATCACTTGATTCAGCAGACCCTCAAGTTCCCACGAAAGTTTCCAGCCATGTCTGAGAAGCAGCCGTGGGGCAGGGGCAGGCAAGGAGCGAGCTGTTCTGGGCCTGGCTGCTCAGGGCCTGGCCTCTGTTGCTCTAGTTCATTCCACAACCAGCTGCTCCGGGTCTGGTCACTGCCGCTCCCGACCTAGTTGCTCTGGACTTGGCTGCTGCTGCTCCGGGCCTGGCCGCTCCCAGCCTGGCCGCCGCTGCTCCGGGCCTGGCCGCACCAGCCCCGCCTGCTCCCCCGGGCCTGGCCGCTCCCAGCCTGGCAGCCGCTGCTCCGGGCCTGGCCGCACCAGCCCCGCCTGCTCCCCCGGGCCTGGCCGCTCCCAGCCTGGCAGCCGCTGCTCCGGGCCTGGCCGCACCAGCCCCGCCTGCTCCCCCGGGCCTGGCCGCTCCCAGCCTGGCAGCCGCTGCTCCGGGCCTGGCCGCACCCGCCCCGCCTGCTCCCCCGGGCCTGGCCGCTCCCAGCCTGGCAGCCGCTGCTCCGGGCCTGGCCGCACCAGCCCCGCCTGCTCCCCCGGGCCTGGCCGCTCCCAGCCTTGACCCTATTCTTGACCTTGAGCCCCTCGCAGGGCAGAGGCTGATGTTGCCTCCCTCTCCCTGTCTCAGGAATGGGAGGATTACCGTCTTGCTTGGAATCCTGAGGAGTTCGACAACATGAAGAAAGTTCGACTCCCTTCCAAACACATTTGGCTCCCGGATGTGGTCCTTTACAACAAGTAGGTGACCCTGGAGTAATGGGGAGCGTCGGGGAGACCGTGGGGATGCTCAGGGAAGGAAGGGGTCTTGGGGAAAGTAAGTCAGCTCATGCTGGGTAGAGAGAAAATATTTTCCTCTGGCACAGATTCAGTCACTACCCAGATAGACAGACCCAGACCACAGATGTATAATATGGACGGCCAAGGTGACCTGGCCCCTGGACAGCCCCCTCTCAGCCAGTCAGGAGTCCCTGTGTTTGGAGCTGCAGTGGGATTCAGATAAGGACTGAAAGCCGTCAGTGCCTAAACTGATCCACAGTTCAATTCCCGGTCAGGTCACATGCCTGGGTTGTGGGGTCCATCCTCAGTTGGGGGCATGCAGGAGGCAGCCAATCAATGTTTCTCTCCCATCATCAATGTTTCTGTCTCTCTCTCCCTCTTCCTTCCTCTCTGAGACCCTCTCTTCCCCCCACCTGCCTCTGTCCCCCTCCATTGCTTGGGGAGCCTCATTCTGGCCTCCCTGACTCCGCCATCTCCCCCTTCACTTGTGAAGTGAACGTACACAATGCATGAAACGTAGCAGACGTAGCCCTCACCCTCTCATCCAGTTCTTCATCTCTGAGGCCTCCTGGATCTCCTCAGAGAGCACCTCTCCTCCCCACAAACCCACCCACATACCATATTCTCTCTCAGCTCCTGCTCTGCTACCTTCTACTCTGGACCTCCCAGGGAGGGCTGGGTGGTGGGTGAGGGTGGAGGAAGGCCAAGGCCGGGGCTGACTTCTCCTCCCCCCTCGCGGCAGCGCGGATGGCATGTACGAGGTGTCCTTCTACTCCAACGCCCTGGTCTCCTACGACGGCAGCATCTTCTGGCTGCCGCCCGCCATCTACAAGAGCGCCTGCAAGATCGAGGTGAAGCACTTCCCGTTCGACCAGCAGAACTGCACCATGCGGTTCCGCTCCTGGACCTACGACCGCACCGAGATCGACCTGGTGCTCAAGAGCGATGTGGCCAGCCTGGACGACTTCACGCCGAGCGGCGAGTGGGACATCGTGGCGCTGCCGGGCCGGCGCAACGAGCACCCCGAGGACTCGACGTACGTGGACATCACCTACGACTTCATCATCCGCCGCAAGCCGCTCTTCTACACCATCAACCTCATCATCCCCTGCGTGCTCATCACCTCGCTGGCCATCCTGGTCTTCTACCTGCCCTCGGACTGCGGCGAGAAGATGACGCTGTGCATCTCGGTGCTGCTGGCGCTCACCGTCTTCCTGCTGCTCATCTCCAAGATCGTGCCGCCCACCTCGCTGGACGTGCCGCTGGTGGGCAAGTACCTCATGTTCACCATGGTGCTCGTCACCTTCTCCATCGTCACCAGCGTGTGCGTGCTCAACGTGCACCACCGCGGGCCCGGCACGCACACCATGGCGCCCTGGGTGCGGGCGCTCTTCCTGGAGCGGCTGCCCGCGCTGCTCTTCCTGCAGCCGCCGCGCCGCCGGGGCGCCCGCCAGCGCCTGCGCCAGCGCCTGTGCCGCCGCCAGGGGGAGCGCGAGGGCGCCGCGGCCCCCTCTCCCCGCGGGGCCCCCAGCGCCGACCTCTGCACCTGCTTCGTCAACCGCGCCTCCGTGCGGGGCCTGGCGGGGGCCCTCGGGGCGGAGCCCGCGCCCGCAGCAGCCATCCCCGTCCCCCGGCGCCTGCGGGGCCCCTGCGGCTGCGGCCTCCGGGAGGCGGTGGACGGCGTGCGCTTCATCGCCGACCACATGCGCAGCGAGGACGAGGACCAGAGCGTGAGTGCGGGGGTGGGGGGACTCAGGGCGTGGGTGCGGGGGTGGGGGACGGGGGACTCAGGGCGTGAGTGCGGGGTGGGGGTATGGGGTGGGGGTGGGGGTACGGGGGATCAGGGCGTGGGTGCTGCAGGATCTGGAAAGCTGTCGCGTGGTGTAGAGACCCGCAAAGCTGGTCGGGCTGGATGCAAAATGTGAGTAAGCTGGGGGTTGGGGGCTGGGGGCTGGGGTGCTGGCCAGCGTTTTTTTTTTTTTTTTTTTTTTTTTTTTTTTTTTTTTAATCTTTTTAAAAAAAATATATTTTATTGATTTTTTACAGAGAGGAAGAGAGCGGGATAGAGAGTTAGAAACATCGATGAGAGAAACATAGATCAGCTGCCTCCTGCACACCTCCTACTGGGGATGTGCCCGCAACCAAGGTACATGCCCTTGACCGGAATCGAACCCGGGACGCTGGAGTCGGCAGGCCGGTGCTCTACCCACTGAGCCAAACCGGTTTCTGCTGGCCAGCGTTTTGGATCGGCTTCGGGATGAGGCGCGGCCCACGCTGGGGTCCTGCAGGATGACCGTGCGGCTCCCCGAGCACCAGCACCCAGTGGGAGATGCCCCTGGTGGGCATCGCTCCTGTAGGAGGCGGCCAGGAAGGGGAGGAGGCCTCTGAGCTGGCCGCTGGCCGGCACCCGCCGCCGCTCACATTCCCAAGGCCAAGTTGTTAATCTTCAGCACAAACCCAGGCTGCGTTCTCCGTGTGCCCCCCGGGAGAGGGGAAGGCAGAGGTAGGGGCAGCGGAAGGGGAGCGGGGAGGGGTGGGGGGTGGGTGTTCAGAGGTTCCCAGGGCCTCCTGTGGAGGAGACAGTCCCTGATCCATGTACTGTGTCTGCTCCTCTGAGTCCCGGGGAATGGCCTGGTGACATGGATATGGAGGCAGGGGTACAGGGGGGGGGGTAGGGGGGGGGGTAGAGCTTCCTGCACAGCTGGCCTTTCCTGGCAGCTCCCGGAAAGGGACTCCCATGGTTTCCAAGTCGAGAGCCAAGTGTGAAGAGTTGACATGCCCTACGTTGAGTGCCCCCCGGCTCAGTCTTTGGGCACCTGGCTACTCCAGGCAGCTGCTCAGCTGTTGCCATGGTGACCAGCGAGGTTTCTGCTGGGGCGCTGCCATTCCAGTTTGAGGGTGAAGCAGGGCCAGCTCCTGTTTGGGGGGAAGAGGGGGAGGAGGACTTCAGAGCCTGGCGTCTGAGCTGGTCCTGAGGCAAAAGAGGTGCCGTCCAGGTGGGAGGGGAGGGGATGGAAGCCTCTGAGCCAGCAGAGGCCAAGCCGAGGCTGCACGGTGGGGATGGGGTGCAGGAATCCAGCCAGCTCTCAGCTCCGCCCCCTCCCGCAGTCCACAGCACATGGTGTCATTTACCCAGCAGGGGGCCGAGGATGCAGTGACCTACCTGGCCGCCTGCCAGGTATCTCCAGCGGATCTTGTCCCAAACGATGCTCCATCTACACCCACCGACTCTTCTCACCTCCTGTTTTAGCAAAATCATCACCTTCCACCTGCTGGGTTCAGACTAAAAAACTGGAGTGACTCTCATCTTCCGGAGTAATTCTTTAAAAACGTATATTTTTATTGATTCTTTTTTAGAGAGAGAGAGAGAGAGAGAGAGAGAGAGAGAGAGAAGGGAGAGGGAGAGGGAGAGGGAGAAACATCCATCTGAGAACATGGATCAGCTGCCTCAAGCATGCTGCCTTTGGGGGTCAAACTCTCAACCTGGGCATGTAGCCCGATGCAGATCCAGCTGACAGCCTTACAGAGCATAGAATGCTGCCCGGCCAGCTGAGCCACACCGAGTGCTTTTCCCCTTGTTAGCCCTCACTGAGCCACACCAGCCATGCTCACCTGAGGATATTTGTTCCTTTGCTTTTTCAGAGAGAATGGAAGGGAAGGATGGAGGGAGGGAGAGAGAAAAACACTGATGTAAGAGAGACACATTGATTGGTTGCCTTCCTGCAAGCACCCCCATCGGGGGCATAGAATGAACCCACAACCCAGGTACATGCCCTTGACCAGGAATTGAACCTGAGACCCTTTGGTGCGCAGGGTGATGCTCCAACCACTAAGCATGCTGGCCAAGGATTTTTTTTTTTTTTTAACCTTACCTGAGGATTTGTTTTCATTGGTTTCAGAGAGAAAGGAAGGGGGAGAGAGCAAGGGAAGGAGAGAGAAGAGAGAAAGAGAGAGAGAGAGAAATTGATGTGAGAAACATGGGTCGGTTGCCTTGAGTTTGTGCCCCAAATGGGGATTGAACACGAAACCTGGGTGTGCGCACTGACTGTAAACGGAGCCTGCAGTCTTCTGGTGCATGCTCCAACCAACCAAGCAGCCCGGCCAGGGTGTAATTCTCTTATTTTATTTATTTTGTGTCCATCTCTGTCAGGAGACTGTAACCCACAGGATATGTTTGTCTCGCTCTCGTCATAGCCCCAGTGCCAGCATGGTGCCAGGCACATAGTAGGCATATCTGTGACACAAATGAGTCATTATTCAGCGGCCAACTAAATGAAGGCGCACAGGTGCCTCCTTCCCACCCCCCAGTCAGCGGGGCTGCAGGGGAACATGTGGGCTCAGGCCTCAAGTCGGGCTGGAGTGGAGCAGCTTGAGGGAGCCAGAGCTTCCCCGGAAACCACAGAGGACACGGTCTTTCTGACTGGTCTGTTCACTTAGTCCTCCCCGACTGGGGCCTGTGTGCTCAGGATGAGACTGTTGGGTGGGGCTTCCCATGCAGTCATGTAAGGAGCAGAGGGAGCCATTCCTTTACTGATACTCCTTTACTGAACACCCATTTACTGATACTCTGTGCTCCATGTGCTGGAATTACAAAGATGAGTTTGACGAGCCCTTGGAGTTTAGGAGCTGAAGGAAGAGGTAGGGGTGGGGGTGGGGTGCAGGTAGCAAACTGGAATGGTAACACAGAGCAGTAAAAATACTGTGCTGGAAATGTGTACACAGTGTTAAAGGAACGCAGAAGGGACCCAGGTTCATTCTTATCAGGGGCATCAGGAAAGCTTTCATAGAAGAGGTGACATTTGATGTGGGCTTTGAAGGATGTGTAGGAGTTCACCAGGTGGAGACAGGGAGGACAGGCATTCTAGACAGAAAAGAAACCCAAAGGCATGGAGAACTGAGAGAACACGTGGGGTTCGGTAAATCCGAGGTGTAGCATGGAAGAGGATGGGGGGTAGGCTCAGATTGCCGTGGGTGGGTCTTGATTCCGGATTTGGAAGTTTGGGTAGGTCCTGAAGGCAGAGGGGCCACTGCTGGAGGCTTTTAAGCATGCTTTGGAAAGGTCACTGTGGGGTCATGAGGGAGAGGCATGTTGTGTGTGTGTGTGTGTGTAAGGGGGGGACCTGCTCATACCCATTCCGTTCCCATCTTTCCTCATGTGACCGACATACTTGGGCATCATTTGTCTCCTCCGCACAGGTGTGCGAGGACTGGAAGTATGTCGCCATGGTGATCGACCGGCTGTTCCTCTGGATCTTTGTCTTCGTCTGTGTCTTTGGCACCATCGGGATGTTCCTGCAGCCTCTCTTCCAGAACTACGCCCCCGCCACCTCCCCCCACTCGGACCACTCGGCCCCCGGCCCCAAGTGAGCCCCCTCCCCAGCTCCAGGGCCCTCGCCCCGTTGCCTGCCTTTGCACAATGGAAAGGTGGAAGAGGATGAGCCACCGGGAAGAGGGGCGCTGCCCACAGGACCCGTCCTTCCACCCGGAGCCCCTCCCCCCCCACTGGGCCCTCACACAGCAGGCTGCACCCGGAAGCTGGGCCGGCCGCTCGCCTCCTCCTGCACCAATTGTGTCGCTGGTGGAGGATGAAGGCTGAGAAGAGGAGGATGGAGAGATCAACGACTTCCGGCCTGAGGAGAGTGTGAAGGGGAAGGCCCACGAAAGGGCCAGAACCTTCCAGAACCTTTCACTGCCTCCTGGTCATGGGAAAGGGGTGGAGGAGGAGGGGAGGGGACAGGGCTTCAGCTCTGTGCTGGGCTGGCCGACACCATGGCCGCTCAGAGGGAGGAGCAGAGGAGAGGGGCCTGGGTGTGGCTGATGCTTGCCTTAGGCCGGTGAACTCCCGCTGGGCTGGGTGGGCCTCACTGAGGGCACAGGTTCTGCCCAGAGGGTGTGTGTGCTGCTGTGGCCGGACTCCTGAAGGGAGCCTGCAGCCCAGGCCCACGGCCCCGGCTCCCCTCCTCCTGGCGAGGCGTTCTCACCACCCCCCCCGCCCCCCCGCCCCGGGCTTCCCTTCCTTTCTGATCGGCCGGGGTGATGGCCAAGGCTGGGGATCCGGAGCCTCTGAGTTTGGAGTCTCTGCGTGATCTGCGTGGAGCCCGAGGTCTGGGCGCACACACTGTGAGAAGGCTGTTTTTTACCCCCAGTTGAACTGACTGGTTGTTTGAAGTAAATGAAGGATGTTCGCTGGAAGCGGACCCAGCTTTTTAAAAATTTTTAAATATGTTTTTTTAGTGATTTTAGAGAGGAGGGAGAGGGACAGAGAGATAGAACCATCCATCGGCTGCCTCCTGCATATGCTACACTGGGGATCCATCCCGCAACCTGGGCATGTGCCCTGACTGGGAATCGAATCATGACCACTCGGCTCATAGGTCAACTCTCAACCACAGGGCCACACGGGCCGGGTCAGACCCAGGCATTTTGCTTCAGCAGAGCCGGCTGCCGGGAGCGGCCACATTAGCACTGCTCCTGCTCCGCCCTGCTCTTCAGGGCTCTGCTCTTCCGGCTCTCGCCCCTGCTCTTACCCCGCCCGCCCAAACCTGAGCCAGGGTGCAGGGGGACAGGCCAGCTGCTGCCGGCAGCTCCCGGAAGGCACCCCGTCCTGGGGGGCTGTGGAGGCTGAACTCTGACACCGCGCCCAGGGGACAGCCGGGGGCCACCTGGCCTGTCAGCACAGGAAACACCTCTCTGTCCCCATCCCTGCCGCGGACTGGCTCTGATTTATGGTCCCAGCCTGTGCTCCGTGCTGGGCCAGCAGGTGGCCGGCCACAGAGAGGTCAGTCTGCCAAGTGCACTGAGGGGCCTGGCCCCCACACACCATGCTGTTCTGAGCCCAGCTGGACTCCTGTGCCTCCAGAGGGGAGGGAGGAGAGAGGAGACACACGGCATATGCAGAGTGCTGAACAGGGGTCACATTCTGGATTCTGGTCCCAGCTCTGCTGCCAAGTAGCCATCTCGAGCAGTCTCTGCCCTGTTGGGTCTCTGTTCCTCACCTATCAAATGGGGGCAGTGAGGCCCTCTTTAGGGAGTGATTGTGAGGATGAAGGGATGTTTGTGGAAAAGCCCAGTGCTCTCGTGGGCACAGGGTGGAGGGTCTATTACTGTGGAGTCAGAGACAGTCAGAGCTGGTGGGGTCACCTGTCATGTCAGTTTTCCCCTAAACCCTTACCCTCTCTCTCTCTTTAGTCTTTATGTACTTTTATTTTTAAAAATCTTTATTGTTGAGAGTATTACAGATGTCCCTCTTCCCCCCGCCACCCCGCTGCTCCCCTTTACCCAGTTCCTGCCTTCACCACCCTTCTGTCTGTGTCCGTAGGTAAGATGTTTGGTTAATCTCTTCCTGACCTCCACCCCAATGCCCTCTGAGATTCGTCAGTCTGTTCCATGCTTCCCTGCCTCTGACTCTGTTTTATTCACCAGTTTATTATGTTCATTAGTTTTCTGGCTCATCTTGATTTTTAGATTTGTTGACAGATATGTATTTGTTGCCATTTTATTGTTCATGTATTTTATATTTCCTCCTCCTTCTTAAATAATGCCCTTCAACATCCTATATAATAAAAGTCTAATAAGCAAATCGTCCCCTTGACCAGGAGTTCAACTGGAAGTTCAAGCCACTGGCCAACCTCGCGAGGCCCCTCCCCTCGGCCATCCCTGCCCCCCCTATCTCCTCCACTCCCTCCCAGTCGGGGGACCTCATCTGTGTGTGAATTTGTGCACTGGGACTCTAGTTTCATAAGTACTGGTTTGGTAGTTAAATTCCTTTAGCTTTTTCTTGTTTCTGAAGCTCTTTATCTGCCCTTCAATTCTAAATGATAGATTTTCTGAGTAATCTTGGTTGAAGGTCCTTACTATTCATCACTTTGAATATTTCTTGTCACTCCCTCTGGCCTGCAAAGTTTCTGTTGAGAAATCAGCTGACAGTCATGTGGGTGGTCCCTTGTGGGTAACTAACTACCTTTCTCTTACTTCTTTTAAGACTCTCTCTTTGTTTTTAGCCCTTGGCATTTTAATTATGATGTGTCTTGGTGTGGGCCTCTTTGGGTTCCTCTTGTTTTGGACTCTCTGAGCTCCCTGGGCTTGTAAGTCTATTTGTCTCACCAGGTAGGGGAAGATTTCTGTCTTTATTTATTCAAATAGGTTTTCAATATCTTGCTCTCTCTCTTTTCCTTCTTGCCGGGCCCCCCAGTAATGTGAATGTTGGTATGCTTGAAGTTGTCCCAGAGGCTCCTTCATATTTTTGGATTCTTTTTTCTTTTTTCTCTTCTGATTGGGTGCTTTTTTTGCTTCCTATACTCCAAATCATTGATTTGATTGTTGGAATCCTCTACTCATTGTTGAGGATTTACTCATCCCTGTAAATTGCTCTTTGTTTCAGTTTGTGTATGCTTAATTTCTGACTGGAACTTTTTCATGTCTTTGACATTCTCACTAAGATCCTTGAAAGTCTCATGAAGATCCTTGAGTAACCTTAGAACCATGGTTTTGAACTCTGTATCTAGTAGTTTGCTTGCTTCCATTTTGTTCATTTGCGACGTGTTTCTCTGTCTCTGCATTTTGGCTGCTTCCCCGTGTTTGCTTCTGTATGTTAGAGAGAGCTGCTATGTCACCTGGAATGGGTGGAGGGGCCTTGTGTAGTAGGTGCTTTAGGACCCAGTGGCTCAGCCCCCCAGTCACCTGAGTGGGCAGTCTAGGTTAAGATGACCAGATGTCCCGCTTTTGGCGGGACAGTCCCAATTTTTAACAGTTGGTCCTGCGCCCCGTGCATTTTAAAGCGGGACATCTGGTCACCTTACTCTAGGCGCACCCCTGTGTGGGCTGTGGGCACGGTCTCGTAGTTGAGTCTTGATTGCTGTTGGCATCTCTAGGAAGAGTTGACCACCAGGCCAATTGGCTGTGAGGACCCCCTGTGAGCAGTGGGAGAGCTGCTGTGCCAGAGCCAGTCTCCGGTCTTCTATTGGAGGGTTTGGGGCACCCAGCTGCAGCTGGTTTGAAGCCTGAGGCAGCACAGGCTGTTCATAGGGAAAAGCTGCTGCAAACAGCTTAGGGTGATCCTGCAAATTGGAGGGGGCGGGGCCTCAGGGAACGTGAGGGCGGAGCAAACAGTGTGCTCCAGACTGATGGAGACTCCAGTACGCCTGCTGGTCAGCCCTGCCACAGGGGAGGTCCCAGCACTGGGACCGGGACCCTTACGAGCACCCTGTCTGAGAGAATGCCACCCCCGGTTCCTGCCCTGCTGCCAGACAACCCAGCTCCTCCTGCCTGTGTCTGGCCCCAGCGCTGGAGCTCAGAAGTAAGTGTGCGCCGGCCATTCACACCTGGGATTCCACAGCCTTGGGGCCACTCAGCCCCGGCCCTGATGGTTTTCACAGCCTGTAGTTGCGTGGACTTCTCTTCCCGGCTCCGGAACGCTGGGCTGGGTTTGGTGTGGGGCTGGGACCCCCCTGGTCCTCACGGGCCACCTCCCCAGAGACACCCTCCCTCCGGATTAAAAATACAGCACACACGGGTGTGAGGCCGGCCGGTCCTTGCCTCCACCGCTCCTCCCAGTCTCAGAGTGCTTTCCTGGTCACCATTCTGGCTGTGGTGGAAAGCAGGCCTCTGTTCAGCCGGCCTTCGTGGTGGTTCTGCATTTCGGTTGTGATCTGGATGTGGTTGTGGGAGGCGGCGTGGATTGTTGGGCTTGGGGCACGCTGCCCCAGCTGCAGCTTGTTGGGGGATTTCAGCCGAGTCTGAGGCCCCAGCCAGCACATCTTGGTTCTCCTCTACCCCCTCTCTCTCTCAAACAAACCAAGTCGCCCCAAACAGGGCCCGTGTCCCGGGGAACTGAGAGCTGGGGGGAATGCTCCGGGAGTCTCGTGCTGGGGTTGGCCAACTGCAGCCCGAGAGCTGCATTTGGCTTTCTGGCCCCTTGAGCGTGGCTCTTCCACAAAAGACCACGGCCTGGGCGAGTCTCTTTTGAAGAAGTGGCGTGAGAAGAAGTTTAAGTTTAAAACGTGTGGCTCTCCAAAGAAATTTCCGTTGTCGTCCTGTTGACATCTGGCTCTGTGGACGAATGAGTTTGCCGACCGCTGGGCTAGTGGGTGGGTCTCTCTGGAGCATCTTCAGGTTGGAACTGGCCTGGGCCCTGACCTCCCTCCTGGGCCAGCTCCTCCTGATGCAGGCGTGCTCGAGGCTCCCGCTGACCGGGCCTTCCTGGCGGTGTGTGGGCGGTGTCCCCAGTGCTCTCACCGCCGGCCAGAACAGCCCTCCTCAGGGGGGGAGTTAGTGTCTTGGCTCCATGGAAACGCACTTGTCCTAGGACAGCGTGGAGAGCGGCCAGTGTGAGGCCTGGCTTCTCCTTGAACCCACAGCCCTGAGTAAAC